AAAAAAAAACAAATAGAAAAAAAAAAAAAAACATAAGAGCAAAGTACAAACAAAAAACTCGTTTCCCCTCCTCGTGTTTGAAATAATTACCAAATACAACATCGAACTTTTAAACCTCTATTACAAAAAGTTTCTACTAATTTATTATGCGTGATCTTTGTAATCCTTGTCAAGGACAAAATGATCAACTACCCTGCACCAGGCCCTAGATTTCAGGAGATAATAGACAAGATAGCTGTAGCATTTGACAAACCAGGGTGGACATCATGACCATCAACACGAGCAACTGCTCCAGCAACTACACAACCCAGGTTATCGCCCCATCCTTCGTATGTACACATAACAGCCTCTTTATTTACCAACACAAACCGTCAGTTCCCACCACATGAAAAGTCCTTCCCCGTCTAACATGTTCTCATGAGTGATGAGACTGCTAGCTGCATTAGCTTTTCATCGGGGTACGCCGATCCATCAACGATACGTAAAGCGGGATGCGGCTCACTGTAGTGTCTTGCTAACCTCAGCACGGCATGACACCATCCTGCTTCACTGCTGTCCTTTGACTCTGGAATCTTGCAGAACTCCTCGTCGATGTACGCATGTGCAACAAGTTTCTCGTTGAAGATGTCAAAACTTTCCATGTCCACTTGTGCATCAAATGCCTCCTCTCCCTCACCCTGCCCTCTTCCATCAAATGTGCAAAAATACTGCGACATGATAACAGGGTTTTCTCTGTTGTCACCATCATAAACAAATGACCGCTCAAATTTTCTCTCCACAGCTTTGCTGGGGGTAGGATTCTCTTCCTGGCCAGCGGAATGAGATGAGTTCTGGAGCGTCCACTGAAGGATTAAATCCTCTGCTTTTACATCGTGCTTTGTTACTTTCTCTGAACCGCTATCCCCTCTGAACATGGCCACAACAAGTTTGGTTTGTTGATAATTACGATCACTACTGTCCTCCTCCTCCTCTACACAGCTCTTCTTACACTCTGCGGCGACGAGATTCGAACCCTGCTGTCGCTTGCGCTGCCTATCAACCTCTGTAGGAGCTGCACATATGGCTTATGCTGCGCACTCGATTACACAATCTTGAACTAAGGTTGATATTGCATTGGACACAGGAGGAGGAGCTAAGCTGTATGTCACTGTTTCCCCTCCTGCAAGCACATCTGTGATCATAGGATGGAGGATGCAGTGAATGACATTTCTATCGCATTTACTTCTCCTGGTCAAATCCATAATTTGATCCAGAAGGAAGTACTCAATTCCATCAGCAACAATGACAGGCAACTCTGCAAGACAAGCGGGTTGCACACATTTTTTTAAGGGCAACTGCGACAAGGATAACACCTCTTCCACGCCCGGTTTCAACAGGGCGGCATTGAAGGGTAGCCTCAATTGTGCGGCACGTATCTTCGATTGCAATTTTTTCCTAAATGCGGGTTTTGTGTACATGCCACCCTTTTGGTGTTTATTCATATCGATATCCTCCTGTTCTGTGATCCAATCCAGAAATGGTTTCTCCGTGTAAGATTGTATGTCAATCGGTTTGTTGGGGTGAGAAACCGTTGTCCTTTCTAGGAGGGGTGAGTGATGCAGCCTGTCCAGAAAGACGTTTGCATCATGCATGTTGTCGAGGTTGCGAGCAACGGTTGCATCGACATCGATATGCACATGAAAATAACGAGGAACCCTCTGTCTCAAGTCCTGCAATTCGGCGTCGGAGTTATAATGCACAAAGGGCGTGGCAAACTGCATCACCGTCTCTACCGCAATGATGTCATGTGAGGCCGACATAGCTTCTTCCGCCTGTGAGATGCAGCTGATTACGAAACGCAGTTATCGCCGTCCAATCTGAAGTTCAACAAACATCGAAAACAATGGAAAAACAAGTTATATACATATAATGTAGGACAAGAAAGTCGGCCTATGAGGTCGACTTTTGCCTGCGTACACACGCATGTGTGAGGAGTCATGCGTCGTCCCCAGACAGGGTGTCGGGCAGGGACAGTGCAGAGCAAAAAAGAAAAAAAAAGAAAAAATTATTATCACGAATATACCAAATAATTACCGGAAAAAAAAAAACCTTGTTGTCATCCTTCATGTCACACATCGATTGCAAACGACCTACTTCTGTATGTCTTCTAATATAAAGAAAAAAAATTAAAAATAAAATAAAAATACCGGATATATATTCTCACCAACAATAACCTGCAATTGGATACCCCCCCTCTCTCCCCCCCTCCCCCCCCTGCCCCCGTTCATGGCAAGGAGAACCACACACAAAAGAGACATTACTTATGAAGAATTCAATAAAAGCAATTCAAACAAAATTCGAAGGGTGCCGGGGAGACCACCTCCAGCACTTTGAGGTGACCTCCAGACGAACAGATAAGTACTCACTGATCGGGTCCAGAGACTCACAATAACCTTAACACATGTGACACATCGACAAGGGAACGCACACATAGATGAAAGGTTTGCATCGGACGTCGTAGTTGAGGTTAAATGGGCGAAAGGTTGTGCAAAAGAGAACGGCGCACCTGCCGCCCACAACGATAGAATCCTATGTACTTCACCTTTCGACCGTCATCGGTTGCTCCTGTCTCAACGGATGCTGACTCACTTGCGACCTGGTAGTTGAGGGCAAATGGACCCACTTCCCTTTGTAAGGAACCCGCGTCGGCAGGTGCGCTGTCTTCTGACGTGCAAGAGGAAGGTTGTGCAGAATAGAACAGCGCACCTGCCGACCACAATGATGCAATCCTATTTACTGCACCTTTCGCCCGTCATCGCTAGGTCTCGTCTCAACGAATGCTGACTCACCTGCGAAGAGGTAGTTGACTGCGAATGGGTCCACTTCCCTTTGCAAGGAACCCGGGTCGGCAGGCGCGCTGTCTTTTGACGTGCAAGCGAAAGGTTGTGCATAAGAGAACGGCGCACCTGCCGACCACTACGATATAATCCTAGTAACTGCGCACCGGGCCATCATATATTGGTTATGGCTCAACGGATGGTGACTCGCTTGCAACCTTGTAGTTGACGGTTAATGGACCCGCTTCCCTTTGCCTGTATCGCGGGTCAGCAGGTGCGTTGTCTTTTGACGTGCAAGCGAAAGGTTGTACAAAAGAGAACGGCGCACCTGCTGACCACTACGACATAATCCTGTTTACTACACCTTTCGCCTCATAAAACTTGTTGTCATCCTTCATGTCACACATCGATTGCAAATGACCTATTTCTGTATATCCTCTAATATAAAAAAATAAAAATTAAAATAAAAAATAAAAATAGAGAATATATATTCTCACCAACGATAACCTGCAATTGCATACCCCCCCTCTCTCCCCCCCTCCCCAAGAGACATTACTTGTGAAGAATTCAATAAAAGCAATTCGAACAAAATTCGAAGGGTGCCGAGGAGACCACCTCCAGCACTTTGAGACGACCTGACATACATCCTTTGCTGTACCGAAGCATGAGCACTTACGATGAGGACAATGCTACATAACAGTATTGCAGCRGAAATAGAAAGTGCCTGRCATTTCATCGACTGCCAATTCACARAACYGAAARTMTGATTTCCACATTTATSGCCTGAAGTCGTACTGAATTTTACAAGCAGCAATGCACCAATGTCACACTGACCAAGATTCATAACACTGAATCCAAGTGATGATGATAGCGATGGACATAACATTTCGTGCCATGAGTATCCACATTCTATCCGACCACGGCGGTCCGCGGCCAAATACTGCCTACCCTGCTACATTCTACTTCTACGTGGGCATTGCAACTCCATGGCTTCAGCAGCCATCGAAGTACTCGAATATTATCACCATTGCTAATACCCGGGATGAGCCCTGAGTTCACCATAACCATATCTTTACCTTATCCCTCCTCTTTACGTCCCTTACAGTCTCGTCGATATACGCGAACACCCACTCTGCGTCCATTGTTGTTCCTACCGTTCATAAAAGGGATCGGCGGCATCGGTATGCTACAGGCCTGCCGACTTTGTGGAGCCTTTTCGTTGACAGTCCTTACAGATGTAGTGGTGCTTCAAGTTACTTCCGATGACAAAAAAAAAAAAAAAAAAAAAAAAATTAAAACACGAAACCAGATAACAACCACAAAGCCCTGTCTGCGTGTGTGTCTGTTTGCCTCTCCGTCTGTCTGTGCGTGTCCCTGTCTGTCTGTGCGTGTCCCTGTCTGTCTGTCTCTGCATGTCCCTGTTTGTCTGTCTGTGCGTGTCCCTGTCTGTCTGTCTCTCTCTCTCTCTCTCTCTCTCTCTCTCTCGGTGTGTGTGTGTGTGTGTGTGTCTGTGTGTGTGTGTGTGTGTGTATGTGGCTGTCTGACCGTGTGTCTGTCTGTGTCTGTCTGTCTGTGTCTGGGTGTCTGTGTCTGTCTGTGTCTGTCTGTCTGTGTCTGGCTGTGTGTGTCTGTGTGTCTGTCTGCCTGTCCGTCTGTTGTGTGTGTGTGTGTCTGTCTGTGTGTGCGTGTGTTTGTGTGTGTTTGTCTGTGTGTGTGTCTGTGTTTGTCTGTGTTTGTGTTTGTCTGTGTATGTGTGTGTGTGTGTGTGTGTGTCTGTGTGTGTGTTTGTCTGTGCGTGTGTTTGACTGTGTTTGTCTGTGTGTGTCCCCGTGTGGTAGTCTCTCTCTCTCTCTCTCTCTCTCTCTCTCTCTCTCTCTCTCTCTCACCGAGCATCTCACACACCCCCATACATGCAAAAGACATTTGGCTTAGCATCGGAGTGCAATCACCACACAACTCAGAAACAACCGAAGACTCCAACTAATTCTACCCAAGTAAGACGAGCAAAAAAGTAAACATAATGAACAACCAAAATAGGGTAAAACAAAAACAACGAATTTGTACAATTGTGGTTCTCTCTCTCTCTCTCTCTCTCTCTCTCTCTCTCTCTCTCTCTCTCTCTCTCTCTCTCTCTCTCTCCTCCCGCACTGTAGAAATGCTGGAAACATTTTCTATCAGGGCCGCTGGTCTCACTTTACCAAGCTACGGGCTGCACCCACTGTGGGCCCCGACGGACCTCTAAACTTCCTGGTAGCCTGAGCCTGCAACCGCAGGGCTTGATTGATTGTCTTTTTAGATCATTCTGATGGACCCTGCAGGACAGTATGACACACGGAAATAAACACACTGCAAACTCTTTGTTTGTTTGTCTGTCTGCCCGTCTGCATGTCAGTGCCTGTCACAATGTCCCCATCACTATGGCTACTGTCCCCGCATCAGAATGTTCAGTTCTTCGTTTTTTTCTATTTCCAGCTTTAGAAGCCACAACTTTTCTTTTTCTTGTTTATCGTGGCTGCAATTGCGGCGTCTCCGACGCATTTGAAGGACCTGTGGCGGCTGATGAGTCCTTTCTCCATTGCTGGAGTTCCTTTTTCTTCGATGTTGGGACATTTTTCTTCCGCGATGGGTCCTCTTTGGCCATCTGCGTGCTGTCTATCTGGTTTCGTCCAGGACCCTCTGTTTTCTGCTGCACTGGATCATCCTTCTTTTCTCTCTGACGCGGGATCTTGTCTGTGCCGTAGTCACATGTCCCCTTCTTCAATTCAATCACCAACTGCATATCCCTCTTCATGATAGTCACTCTCTTCGAATGGAAAGCAACCTGGTTTGTCATATTCAACACGTGCACGACGTAGGCCTCGACTTCCTCTTCAAAAGCCTTGAGAGCAAGAAGTGACATTCTTGTTGGCCCTGGCAAATAACTAGTTTCTTCTCCCCATCCTCTCCTCCATTTGTCATCTTCCAGTATTTCCCTGACGAACCGTGTGAATGGAGCAAAAGGAATCAGTCTTTCAGTTGACTTCTGCATTTTGCGAATATCTCGAAGTGCAACTGTCCCTGGCCTGAACTTCCAACGCCTTGCATTCCCTCCATCAACGTTTCCTTTCTCTTTCCTCCCTTTCCGCTTTGACACGTTCTCACCTGCATTCTCTTTCCTCTTCGCCCTCTGTTCCCCTGCATGGTTGACCTCAGCAGCCTTCTCGCTGACATTATCATTCCTTGCATGTTCTTTCTTCTTCAACTGTCGAATTGCCTCGAGTGGAGACTGCTCGCTCATCAACGGATCGTCATCTCTCTCTCTCTCTCTCTCTCTCTCTCTCTCTCTCTCTCTCTCTCTCTCTCTCTCTCTGGCACACCTGGTGTGTCGTCCTCATACTCTGACCCACCACCAACTTCCTGCTCTGCGTCCTCTTGCTCTGCAGAATCTGCATGGTCTCTTGCCTCGCCTCCACTCAACATGCAATGACGCAATAAACCCCCTTCATAAACCAGGTCGAAAGGAACTCCCAATGGATCCTTAAAAGTAACATGCACATGACTGTTATCCATATGTTCCTCTTTCCAAATGACCGACACCCATCCCAGAAGAGCTAAGGAATGGAAACGCTCATCCAGATCATCCAAAAATCGAAATGTGACATCCTTGTCACTGTCATCCTCACCATCATCACCCGCGTCGACAAGCCACATTCCTCTCTTTGCTGTGGAATCATATCCACAAACGATCATCTGTCTGTCATCCTCGTCGATAGACCGCTATATCTGATGTGCATGATCGTGCAATACCTTCTTATCCAGTATGTCAAGATTGCACAACGATACCCTGGCAAGCACAACCATGAATTGCCAATGAGATACGAGTCCCTTCTTCATGAACCCCAAAGGCAGTCAGTGGTCTGAAGGAGCTTTTGCTGCCATCGACAACTTCCCTTGCCAATACCCCGGCTGCAACACATTGCCAATCCAATTCACAAGATACCCCACCTGGTTTGAGGCTGCACACATCGCTGAATCAGGTGTCGTCGCCAATGTGTGAGTCATATCATACCGACATATGTTTTCTTCTTTGTGGATATACTCCCACACATCAGTGCACCTTTCCATCGTGCCCTGCTCGTCTGTGAGACACACATTCACCTCCCCATAAAACGTATGGCCATCTGAAAACTCGAGTGCAACAGGATTGTTGAGAGGAACCCTACTATCCACACTATTCCCATTTTCCACCCCCCTCTCATTGTTAAAATTCCGAAGAGTGAGTTTTTCATTCACATACTGGACAAGACACCAGTTCCCCATCATGTCTTGCCGCCTCACTCGCACAACACCAGTTGTTGCAGGGATCGTGAGCGGCACCCACCCCCAACGAGGGTCTCTCCTGGGATCATCGTGAGAACAAGTCTCTGGTCTCATATCTCCACCACTGACAACCCACGGAACTCGATACTCCATGTCGTCGTAAAAAAAATCATTCAATCGTAGTTTTTTTCTGTCCTTCAAAAGTTCGTGGATGGTGAAGGAATGAAGTGTGAGGGCATCTCTGGGAACAGATGGATTCAGCCTTGACACTCGTTCCTCTATAATTGCCAGAGTGAAATGATCCCATACCTGAGGATGTGGTGCCTCCACAGGGATCCATGTGTCATTGCAATTCACGGCAAAGCAATGCTTCCCGCGAAACAATCCCGGTTGGACAACATTAGATTCCCACCTCACATCGTACGCAAAAAACTGACCATCCTAAGTCAATGTCACACATTTGTCGTCGACATGAGACTCGCATTCCCCTCCATTATTAACATGATCCTCCCTCGTTGGTTTTTTGCCATGACCACGCCGACCTCCATCCATATCGTCGTCCTCCTTGTTGTGAGCATGAGACACCTCTTCGTTGTGTGTTTCACACTGCCCTCTTTCTGTCTCTCCTTCCCCAATGTCTGCCATGCCACGAATAAGATCTTCGTTAGCAACATATACTGTTTCTCCACCTCCGGAATCCATCTGTGGAAGGGATGTCATCTACACGATCCACAATCGCAACTTATATGGGATTGTAGAATGCTCACATACACACATATTGTCAAACACAGATGTATGCACCTCCTCGCCGGTAAAACACATTTTCAAACAAACAAATAAGATTTAGATAATAGACTTTTTCAAAAGTCGTTGACATACAATCTGATATTTTCTATACATGTTTCCCAACTGTTCTCGGGCCAATTGAAGACTTTCACAATGACAGTAGTTGGTCATCACTCTCGTCCTCTGGGCTTGAGCACTAACAACTGTGGTTGCTTCTCTCATCAAAGATACCATGTGAGACATTATATCGATGACAAGTCTTTTGACATCCCGCATATTTGCAGCGGCGACATGTGCTGTGAAAACATCTGTTGTCATCAGTACCGTGGTGTTTGGCATGTCGAAAGAAGGTGTTTTTCGAGCCATAATGCATGAAAAATTATGGCGCTCCTGTAATGAAGTCAAGCGTGTGAAATCTTCGCATGTGAAGATTGCGTGCGCAGGGGATGTGGACCGTGTATCCACATCCATATGTACTTCTCTATGCAACACATATGAGTTTCTATCATGACCTTTCGCGGTTTTTTTTTGTCTGCATTCGTGATTTGTTGAAGTTTCCGGCTTATCGTGCAACTTGAAATCCCCACACTCAATCCTACTGCGAAAATACGAAGTGGAATCCATAATATTTATGCAGCTCGACAACAGAGAACGAATGTTTCCCATGCTCACATGTCGACCACTCAACGATGAATGATGATCAGTATCATTTTCGTAATGATGATGTATAGTCTCTGAACAATGTCGCAGACAATCCTCTATGAAGTACAAAAACTCGTGCAAATTTTGTACATCCCCCGTAACCTTGTCAATCGAAACTTGTGTTTGGTTTGTATGTTCGGCCCAACCTTGCACAAGAACGCATTTGTGTGTATGCACACAAGGTTGGACATCCCACGAATCGTCTCCATCTCCGACCTTTGTCTCCATACATGTGTTGTGTTGGCGTTTGTTGGCTCTCCTGTTTCGTGGCTCTGACGTGTAATGTGATTCGACTTCCTTCAGTCGAAACGTAACATCCGCAAGCCGCGCCTCTAGAATTTCTATTCTCTTGTGTGATGCGCTCTCCTCCTCTCTCAATCGTTGTATCTCTAAATTACATTTCATAAGTTGTTTAGTTTTTTCGACGACTTCATGCTCCAATTTTCGTACATCATCTTTCGATTCATTCAAGAGAGCGGACAGCAATAGCCCCTCCGCATACCACTTCTCGATGTAAGCCTCTCCTCCGACCATTGCCTCCAATACTTTCGCCCGTGGGGCAGGGGGGAGGACACCAGGATCTACCCTTGTGCTCGCTGCCTGTTGGGCGGTTGCTTTGTCGCTCGATATGTTATGTCCATCTGCACTTCCCAAATGTGCGTTTCTATCCATCATCTCTGACGTATTCATGACAAATGTGGCACCTCAAAAATGAGTATCCTTGAACACCTACGTCCCGCTCCTCCGATCTTACGTCAGCATCACATGTTAACCGTCGTCGTTGTGGTCATCGACTACGAAAGAAACTTCGTAGTATTGTCATTCTGTGAGATCGTCATGACAAAAATAAATAAGCAATTATTACTTCCTGCACAGTGTTAAATCATCTCTACAAAATGATAGAAGGAGGTGACCTCCAGACGAACAGATAAGTACTYACTCATCGGGTCCAGAGACTCACAATAACCTTAACACATGCKACACATCGACAAGGGAACGCACACATAGATCAAAGGTTTGCGTCGGACGTCGTAGTTGAGGTTAAATGGGCGAAAGGTTGTGCAAAAGAGAACGGCGCACCTGCCGCCCACAACGATAGAATCCTATGTACTGCACCTTTCRGCCGTCATCGGTTGCTCCTGTCTCAACGGATGCTGACTCACTTGCGACCTGGTAGTTGAGGGCAAATGGACCCACTTCCCTTTGTAAGGAACCCGCGTCGGCAGGTGCGCTGTCTTCTGACGTGCAAGGGGAAGGTTGTGCAGAATAGAACGACGCACCTGCCGACCACAACGATGCAATCCTGTTTACTGCACCTTTCGCCCGTCATCGCTAGGTCCCGTCCCAACGAATGCTGACTCACCTGCGAAAAGGTAGTTGACGGCGAATGGGTCCACTTCCCTGTACAAGGAACACGGGTCGGCAGGTGCGTTGTCTTTTGACGTGCAAGCGAAAGGTTGTGCATAAGAGAACGGTGCACCTGCCGACCAGTACGATATAATCCTAGCCACTGCGCACCGGACCGTCATATATTGGTTATGGCTCAACGGATGGTGACTCGCTTGCCACCTGGTAGTTGAGGGTTAATGGACCCGCTTCCCTTTGCCTGTATCGCGGGTCGGCAGGTGCGTTGTCTTTTGACGTGCAAGGGGAAGGTTGTGCAGAATAGAACGGCGCACCTGCCGACCACAACGATGCAATCCTATTTACTGCACCTTTCGCCCGTCATCGCTAGGTCCCGTCTTAACGAATGATGACTCACCTGCGAAGAGGTAGTTGACGGCGAATGGGTCCACATCCCTTTACAAGGAACCAGGGTCGGCAGGTGCGCTATCTTTTGACGTCCAACCGAAAGCTTGTGCAAAAGAGAACGGCGCACCTGCCCACCACAACGATATAATCTTATTTACTACACCTTTCGAGCAACTTCGATTGGTCCCGTCTCATACGAACGCTGACTCGCTTGTGAAGAGGTATTTCACGGCGAATGGGTCCACTTCCCTTTACAAGGAACCTTGGTCCGCAGGTGCGTTGTCTTTTTACGTGCAAGCGAAAGGTTGTGCAAAAGAGAACGGCGCACCTGCCKACCACTACGATATAATCATATTTACCGCACCTTTCTCTCGTTATATATTGGTTATGGCTCAGCGGATGGTGACTCAGTTGCAACCTGGTAGTTGAGCGTTAATGGACCCACTTCCCTTTGCAAGGATCGCGGGTCGGCAGGTGCGCTGTCTTTTGACGTGCAAGTGAAAGGTTGTGCAAAAGAGAACGGCGCACCTGCCGACCACTACGATATAATCCTATAATTTCACCATTCGCCCGTCATAGGTTGGTCCTCTCTCAACGGAAGCTGAGAAACTTGCGACCTGGTTGAACGAGGCCAAATGGGCCCACTCGACGGAGAACGAAGAGGTGGATGTGGCAACCGAAACCGACCAGAGGCAGCAACCGGCCTGTTGGTGATTCAATAATAATGATTTTTGCTTCGTACAATATTTTTTAAGATATTCTCGAACGTTGATTTGACATATGCGTAATTTTGCGGTGCTCGATTTCCGTTAGGTTTTTTTTGGCGGTTTC